AACCTGAGAACTAATAAAAGACGAATTTGAAGCCTTCACTCAGACTCTGCATTTTCAGCAGGCCCCTAGGGTCAGACCCTGCTACGGTGGCCAGTGCGCATAAATCTGTAACAACTACAAAGAGATATTATGCAGGGTCCAAAACTGCAGGTTTTCTAGAAGTAAGTGATGGCTCAGTGTTATATGCCATAAATTTTGGCCAGTATTAGTTTAAATCTAAGACAGTAGACAGATGCTCAGAAAAAATTAAGGTCACACATCAGAGGCGCCAACATGCAAAACCACACACTGTTTTGACAAGCACAACTTCAAAATGCCAAAGAGATATTATGCAGGGTCCAAAACTGCAGGTTTTCTAGAAGTAAGTGATGGCTCAGTGTTATATGCCATAAATTTTGGCCAGTATTAGTTTAAATCTAAGACAGTAGACAGATGCTCAGAAAAAATTAAGGTCACACATCAGAGGCGCCAACATGCAAAACCACACACTGTTTTGACAAGCACAACTTCAAAATGCATTTTAAATAAAGAAAAACTCCTCAAAGTAACTCTGCCTAAAAGAAGGAAAATGAGCCTAAATACCTTTTTCCCTGTTATATGAGAACAGCTTATGCATACACAAACACTAGGCATCTCAAGATTAATTTTTTTTTTCCCCAGACAACTCTGGAGAAACACCAAATTAAAGCAGACCTTTCAAACCTTCAGTCACAGGACATAGGAAGGAGAAAAAGAAATCAAGCTCTTCGCAAGTGTCTTTCCTAACCTGTAGCTACATTCTGAAAAGTCATTTAAAACTTACTTCTAACTGACCAGGCTGATACTCTAGTACTAAAACGGCACACAGTTATTCAATGGTGTTAAAACTCTTCTAGAAGTAGGACACAAAAACCCAAACCTCCAAAGAAAAGTCTTTAAACACACTTTTGAGGTTTTGAAAGGAATTTTTATTAGCAAAGTATCTGATGCCTTCCTAATGTAGAAACATTTTTTTAAGTGGATAGTTAGGTGGTTTTTTTAATATTTAAATCCAGAATCCAACACTTTTAATAATGTCACTCAAACAGCCCACACTTTCAACATAGAAGCAGCATCTTGTAGTATCAGAAATGTTGGGGGGGAATCTATCTTGGTTAAGGCCTTTTGGAGTAATAGTTACCACTTGTCCTCTGATTCTCGTAAAGGATAATGTAGTATTTACTGGAAGTTTCTGTAAAACTCTGTCTTTTATACCTATTGCAACTTTGACAGTTTCCTAAAGCAAGACTAGATTTCCGAAGAAAGAAGTTCAAAACACACAGTGATCCCTAAAACGCAGAGGCACTTTTCTGTAGTATCAAACACCAATAACCACAGAAGGCAGCTGAAGTTCCAGCTGCTTTTACCTCCACTGCCAAGATAAATCTATTGGACACAAGTTTCAACTATTAGTTCTGAAAGTTCAACCTCCAGTATAACCATTATAGAAATTGTACTGAAAAGACTGAATTGCTAAGTCAGAATTTTATTTTTAGCTTTTTTACTATGCCAATACTTTAACAAAATGAACTTCAACAGCAACAAAAAAAGCATCCAACTGTCTCCAAAGGTCACTCAGCACTATTCTAACACATCCCATCTCCTATTTATAAACTCAGATCTTCATATCCATCTTGTGTTACCACAGCCAGAAAACCTAGTCCTTCTTGCAATATGTACTTCAAAACCACCGATTTCATAGCATAGTTCTGTGCTCTATATTTGCAAAATAAAGCTTGAAAATGCAAGCCAAGTGCATGTGTTTTTACAGCCTAAAATAGTAGCACTGAAACTTATATCACACAAAGTCGGCTCTTAGTCTGAAGTCTAAAAACAGCATGCTATTTAATTGCCAAACATCAAGATGAATAGCATGCCCACCCCAAATCCTGCCTCACTCCCACCCATACAGTACTTAGTAGCCAAGGTCCTCTCGGCCAGTTATAATTTTTGAACAATACAATTATCATTGCCAAAGTCACAGACAAGGACTAACCACCAAAGAGTGACCTCAAAATCAAAATACTTATCTTGCACACACTAGAGCCCATTTTCAGTTCAGTTGATTTTAATAAATTCCTCCTGGTTTCCATTTAAGATCAAGTAGAATTCCATTGCTTGCAGAAGCCAGTAAACTTGGCACAACTTTTCTTCAGCTTGCCACAAAGCACACACAGACAAGGTTTATGGCTTACATTGTCAACAGGAACCTGCTGTACTGACTGTAGCAAGGAGTCAGTCTTTAACCTAAATTTCACCTAATTTAAAATCGCCTGAAGGTTCACTACCACTGTTATCACAGGTACTTAGTTATTTCCAATTTTTCTTAATATAGAAAGGGAACTATACTGTGAAATTGTCATCCTTCAGAGCACAAACCCTTTCTTTCTCTGGTTTGGTTTACAATAGGCTTCCCTACAAAAGTAAACAACCTTATATTAGAATTCCAACTATTGCTCAAATTCATCCATCCTAATCCAGGCTCAGAAATTATATGAAGCTTAAAAAAGGCATTTGGTTTTCAAATTCCTAATCTATCAAACAAAGATCATTTGTCCACACTGTTGTTGTTACTCTGCAAATCTTTGTTCAGAATAATTCTACACTTTCCTCTAAACTGAAAAGATACAGGGTATCATGGATCAATGAATTTCCCAATTACTGATTACTTGAAATCTCAGGGTAGTCCATATTTAAAGTTAAAAGCTGTATCATTTTGAGTTAAACACCTTATGAAGAATTTTAACTCATTTGTCTAGGTAACACTGTATAAACTAATCAGCATTGAACTATGTTTCTTAAAACCCTATTAAATAGCTTGTGTTTACAAAATTTCTTATCAGTTTCCACTGTATCTTGCTGGTAACTAAGATATAGTTAATCTAGTCTCAAGAAAAATTCATATGCTACACAAATTTGCAGACCAGTAACTTACGTTTGGATACAGGCAATACAGACAGTAATGGCACATGAAGCATTACCTGTGTGGTTTCTTACCTGCAAGATTCCAGGTAGCAAGTCTGCAAAATGTTTCAGAAGGGGAAGATTGTGCTCATTAGCAAGCACAAATGCAGCTGCAGCTCTAGCAGACAGAGTCTTGATCTAGAAGACAGGCAGAATTGGAGAAACATGAAGAACTGCTAATGAAATATGCCTTTGTTTTCTTTTAACATTAGACCTATTACGAGACTAGATTTTGTATTACCATTTCCCTTTTACATTTTCCTAATAGATACAACAATTAGCTTTTAACATGGGCTTTTACATCTTAGTTCAAATTAAGGTGAAGCGATAACGAAGATCATCATCTATGTCTTCCAAGATACAAGAAAAGCTTATCATATTATGAGGTGGCAAGTATTCCCTAGTTTTGTTTCTGTTTGTTTTTTGTTTTGGGACTCTTTTTTTAAAAATGAAAGAAAAAAGAAAAAAAACTATTGTTTTCAACTTCCATCCCAATTTCAAATGTCTACGCAAGTGTCCAAGTCCCATTTTTCAAAAAGTGGGATCTAAGTATTTAAAACATGATTCTTTAAAGGCATGACTTGTGGTACTTTAGAAAATGTTACTCAGCTGACTTTCAAAGGTCAGAAAAAGTAATCCATGGGGGAGCATCAAACTGAACCCACATACCACAGCAGGGTTTCCTATCCTTGCCCAGCATTTTCCACAACAAGAGAAACATTTTCAAAGTACAATTCTCTGTACAAATTAATAAATCTGAAGTCTTCCAGAAAAGCAAGGCTTGCTAACATGCCCTTACAGCAAAGCACGCATAAACAGTTCAAGGAACTGTCATATATTCAGTTTTGAGACATACTGTGTACAAATACTATGTGTAGAGATAATACCTATCCGTACTGTTAAACACAAGGGCCAGAAAGAGAAGCTTAACAAGGAGTTTCTGATCCTTCATGCTGCTGGCTAAAACCCCTGGCTCTGCCTTGGGTCACTACAACTAGGTTTCTCCAAGCGTAACTACTAGGTAAGAGTCCGGGGCTTAGGCAGTGCACATATGAGCCAGCCAGTCAGCTTTAAGACCACGAAAAGGTCTGACCCTTTTGTTCTGCAGCAGGCATAGTCAAAACTCCAGCTGTACATCAGTTTCAGGTAATGCGATTCTCTGGTTGGAATCCAGGGTTTAACCTTTATGTTTGAGACTACTACACTAAGTTTCTATGCTCAGGACATATTAAAAAAACCCCAACAACATAAAGGTCTTACTGATGGATGTTCTTGATCTTGCATACACTGAACCAGCATTCTCTTAATGACCTCCAAATAATGTTGCTGCTGATTCCCAAAAATCCCAGGAAAATTCCTAAGGATAAGAAAAGACCAAAACACTAGTAAAAATTCACACAGTTTAACCTTAACTATTATTTTAAATTTATCCATTGTTTAAGCAACAGATTGTAACTGTACACTTATATAAGAGTTAAGTAAACCACAATACAACAGAATCAATGAAATATATATGATTGCTTCTTAATTAAGTTGCCACAGTTTTTCTTACATTCTTACAGACGTGACTTGGCTCACCTGCAAAAATTTAGCAAAGTCTGAAATCTCACCAGAAAATATGTAGAGCAGCCTCACGCAGTCCCACGTTCTGAGAGCTGACAGAGTCAAATAAGAATTTCAGAACCTCTGGCCACTGGTTGTTGCCATCTTCATCTAGATTAAACACAATAAAGTTTTAGGATAAGCAAACTTAAGAGTGGTTACATCTCAATTGTGCAGAGCAACCAGTCGTCACTACTAAAAATGATTTCAAAGAAACTGATCTCAAGATGTGTTCAAGTCACAGCGTAAAATATGGCTGAAATGTTAAATCTAAAGGCACTCAGGAACAGAAGATGATCTCTATTTACAGTTATATAACAGCACTCTAAAAAGAAACTGATGCAGATGTTCAGCTTAACATTCATGAGAATTTAAACAAAACTGGATTTCTAAACCTTAATACAATCTCACCTAAACTCAAACAATTTAAAAAGCAGAGTTAAGGAATCTTATTTTTACCTGATCAAGGATAATGTAAACAAATGTTAGGTTTTCTTTTAAACCATGAAATCAGTTAGTACATCATGTGCAAACATCTACACAGGACTAGAGAACAAGAGATTAAAATACAACTACTATCAGTACATAGACATTTTACCACAATATCAGCTGATATGAAGTACCTATTAAGTTCCTGGCCAGTTCAGCAACGATGTCACAGATTTTTTTCCTCATACTGGACTGCGTTTCCAACTGAATAATCAACAGCAGTCCACTTTTGATAGAGGTCTGATCGTCAGGTGAAAGAGCTGGATAAACTTCTTCAAAAGCAGAAGACAAAAGACGTCGTAGAAGGACAGCTGCCATTTGTCTAGCCTATTGAGTAAGAACGTCTGTATGTTAAAGTGTTCTGATATGATAAACATGCTTTTACAAGGAAAGACGACTGACATCATGCTTCCAAATGATCAGTTTTCACTGTGTAGACTTGTTTGGTAACAGAATACCTCTCAAGCAATAGATGACAATTATGATAGTAAAAACATAGTAAAGAAACATCAGTTTACAACCATGTTTCTGACAATTACAGCTCTTCAAAGAAATAATCATGAAATCCACTGAGATGTTCAGTTCTTTTCTAGAGTTGAACCTCATACATATTTCGTGGCAAGTTGAGGACTTGGCTGCATTACTGAAAGATGTTTAAAGCATGTCTTCTTTCTACTTGAAATGGTCCACTGAGTAAATGATAATCCAGACTTTTTTTTTTTATTAACAAGTGACCTAATGGGACAATTTTGTCAGACAATTAACCTGTAAACCCTCCTTGACTTCCTCAAACAACCAAACTTTGCACTAAAGATTCAGGAACATAGAGGTAGATTTTTGGCAAATAAAACTCTACTCTGAACAACAACAAAAAAAGACCCTAACCCCAAAGCTTTCAGCCTTTTGCAGACCTACGATGAAATATTTTTCTCTAAACTTGAATTTGAGCATAGGAACCTCAATACCACATATTACAATCTTCTGTGCTTCCTGCTTGCATACAGCAATTCTACAACAGTATCATTTACATATCTGTATTTATTTACAATTATACAAGAACTCGAAGCAAAAACCATGGCTGAGTAATTAAAAATGAATAGAGCAACACATGCAGTAAAGGCAAAGACACATGAAGCACCCTGAATAAGTTAATAAATAGGATGTTCATTAACCAGTGTTTCTAGAAGGACAAACAATAATTAAAAACCACCTCTGAACTTCTAAAGTTTAACACATGTAACAAAACCTTACACGTGTTAAATTGTCACAAAAAAATAACCCCATGCAACATGCACTCAATTCTTTTTTCCTAAGATATTCTTATTTAATGTGTACTTGAATGAAAATGTTTCATTTATAACAGACTTTGGAATTGAAAAATGTTCAATGAGCATCAGAGCTAAAGAAGTCTGATTTCCAAAAGAGCTCTCAACTATATTGCTACAGCATAACCTATAGATGAGAAACACAAACTGTTGCAAACTCTCAACTTCTAACGTACCCTGAAAAATCAGGTATTGCTAGAACATCATCCAAGATACTATACTTGTTACGTTCTGCAGTCTTCAGACTCGCTGTGCATTTTTCCAACCTACTCAGCTCTCTTCTATACAGCTAAAGAGTAGTGTACATGAAGTGTCTCTATGCTAGCAGAAGGGAAGGACTACAATTGGACCATACTCTAGATCATTCCTTATCTCCTCCTGCTCAACAGCTCCAGTGTGGACCAAAGCCACCACATATGTAGGACTAGTAGATCTTTCCTAGTAGATCTAAGGAAGACAGCAGAAGAAAAAGAGGGTCACAGTGCCCGCCTGTGCTGAAGCTCCATCATAAGCCAAGGTTCTCTAGCAATAGGTTGTCACATGGGTAACATGAGTTAGGAAGGAGAAAGATTCTTTCCCCACTGCCTCTGGGAATCCCACTAACAATATGTCCAAAAACTTTAATGGTACCACACTATAATGGTATCTTTCCTTCCCTCAATCCCTAGAAGCACCAATATTGTGACAGATTAAATTTCTCCTCTGTACTATGGTGAACTTCATAGGAGAAGCCTTGACTGGGAGGCAAGTTTGCTGGGACTAAACAAGGCAAACCCTGATGCAATGTCTTCCCTTACTCAGGGCATCATGTTTCTGTGCCTATTCTCCGAAATCTGATAACGACTGAACTCACATTATATTAATTCCTTTCCTGAAGTAATAATAGGCGGGCGGCCAGACATGGAACGGAGCTTGTTTTCATAAAGCACATAGTCTCAAAGATAAGAATTTCCACCTCTGAAGAATTTAATTTAAAATATTAGAAGACTGACAAACACAGACTGATTGCAAAGTAAAAACACAAGTAAAAAGGCACACAGGAAGACACAAGATCAGCACTACATGAATTAGCTCCTAGTTATTGTTACTAGCCTAGAAGAAAAGTCACAAAGTCCTTAAGGAAAATTCACATGTTTTAAGGAGTGGCAAAGCAGCAATTGACTTCTAAATAATAAATGGCGTATTTTCCTCAGCAGATATCCACCTATATATGAAAATTACCATTGTCAATTTATTTATGATGAACATGGCTGGATTAATGGCAGCTCTGGGGCTATTTCTTCTGCTTTAAGGAAGAAAGTATGTATTTTTCACACACACTAAAGGCTCTTTTATATTTAAGTATTGTAAGATACATACCCAAACAAGCATTTTAAAATCCTGCAACTTAGGGGCTATAGCTTTTAATGAGAACAGGAATAACATAAAGTGTACATCCCCAGAGAAGAACTTCCATCTACCAATGAAGCATAAAAAAGCAGAATTCTCTCCTAGCATTGGATTCGTCTGCACATTAAATTACTGAGGTGCTCACATACAATTGGAACGTCAAAGGTATTAACATAAAAAGTAGTCCTAATATTCAAATTTCAACATACTGCTTCTTATTAATAGAATTTATTGTGCTTTAAAAATGGGGTTTTTTTATGGATGATGGACCCAAGGCACAAGAAGAAAATGAACTTGCTGAGCAGGACAACAGAAGAATTACAAAGAGAAATCTGGGATATCATATTCTCAGCTGGCATTCAAAGTGTCCAGGTAATCCTACACATTTTATAAGAAAAAGATTGACCACCTTGTGTAGCACAGTCACAGTGATTTTTACTTTTGTTTTACTGTTCCTTTTAAATGCTCAAGGAGGAAAGCATGCATGGATGGAAGCAATCAATATTTAGGACATGGTCCAAAGATGGACTTGCACAGCTTCATTCAGGGATCCAGCCTCATGTGGAATTCAAAACACACAGTGCCTAAGGTCTGCATACAACTCAAAAGGCAGAACCGTGGTGCATCACAAGTCCATGGGCGGGCTGCCCTCCCCTCCAAATGCCAAACAGGAAGCTGCCCACAGCAGAAGTTTTCAGACTAAGAAATGCAACCCTTTCATGTGACAATATGGAGAGGGAGAAGGGAAAGATCGGAGCCCTCTAAGAGGGCTGCCTGCGAGTACAGCAAAAACACAATTTCACACAGCATTTGTTACTGTATTTCACAGTGCTTGAAATTACTCAACTGTAAATTAGGACACAATTTAAAACTGCCAGTCTAGAGCTAACCAGGAAGAAAACAAATGCAGGAGAATATGCAGAACTTCCGTTCCTCTCCAAGATTTAGGTGGCAAATCAAAACTGTAAAGGAAAAAGCTTCTATAACACCTCAGACACACTCTGAGAATAAAAATCATGAAAAACTGAATCTACACCATCCTTCTGTTCAACCCTTTAAAACGCAGGTGCATAGGAAGAAGCAGAGGCCTAAATTCCTAAGAGTGGGACTACAGGTTCAGGAAGCTGGATACACAGGTTCAAGACCCTCTTTAGCCTGAGGTGTACAACCTCGCATATCATCTGGCAGAGCAGTGTTCTAACTTCTAGGTCATGCGCTTCCCTCCACTTCCGTGAACAGTGTTACTGTGCTATCAAGAAAAAAATGAAATGAGAACAGAGGGAAAAGGCGATTATTTCTACAGTTTAGGCATTTGGTTAGAAGGAGAAAACCTGTTATACAGTTAGTTTTTAAGAGAGTTACTCCTGATCTAGCTTAATGGGTTTTTTCCATGTCAAATGCAAGGACTCCTGGGAGCAGGATCTGAATCCCCATTTCTCCATTTAAATGCCGAAATTGCTAGCTTACAGAGTCAGGATTCCCTCAGCTGCTGTCCAACTAGTCCTAGAATCTTGCATTCTCTACAACACAGCAGCCCAGCTCCTGCAAACAGGATGGAGTATTTTCTTCAGTCTAGTTCTCCTGGGAGGGGATAAAGCAATATAGAGGATTGTATTCTGTTAACAGGGGTCTGAACCCAGCTTTCCCATAGCCTGGGCAAGGGATCTCTAAAGTTCTGAGGGTTCTTCCAGCAGGCTGTGTTCAGAGGTGCTGGTACGTTTGATGTGCTCAGAGGACACACACCAGGCCCAAAGCCTTATCCACTGGTGACATATGCACTGTTCTGCCCAACATTTGGATCTACATCAAACATACGCAGACACAAAGTGCCTAGTTGTTCATACCAGCACCATATTGAGCACGCACAGAATGCTTCTCCCCATATTTAAATGCAATGTTTATATCAAGCATGGGGATGACTTCACTTAGGCTCTAATTAGACTACAGTGTACTTGGATTTACAGGGAAGAGAGGTTGTTCACAAGTTTTATTAATCAGGATTTTTTGAGTCCAGCTGACATTTAAACGTTTCTTTGATTTATCCATTGGTGGAGTTAAATGTCAAATGCTGACCTCTGACATCTTTGGTAAGAGTAACTTCTATAGGCGAAAAAGTTTCTTTGCACTTGACTAAGTTGGAAACAGAGTCACTGGCAACATTCTGAACAAGTTTTAGACTGTGCTATTTCCTTAGCTGATGTAAAGGGAATAAAATCAGTAAATATGTATTTACGCAAGCATTACTTTGTAATCATCAACTCAGACTTACCAAATGTATTCAATACAAAACAGAAGCATGTGCAATGGAGCTATGACTTCTAGGGCATAGTATTATCCTCTGATGAAAAAGGGGCAGCAGTAGACCTTATATTTCATGGCAAATTTAAATACAGGAGAGACTGCTCTACAGCTTTCTATCATTTGAAACATCTCGAGGGGCAGGAGGGAAAACTACACAGCTCTCATGCAACCAGTTGCTAGTATAATATTGAAGGATTCTGTCTGAAGAACATTGCTTTGTAGGTAGAAAAGCATCAGTACTAGTAAGCTGATACTTTCTGAGCATTAAAAAGCACAAATAGCATCTACCTCTAAACTGAATACAATCTACCAGAAGAGATCATTATCTAGAAACAGCACACTTACACTGTCCTTATAACATTGTTCAGAAATTCTACGTGCTACATCCTTCCATTGTTCATTAAAACTCTAGATTTGAAAAAAAAGTCTCTGAGGTTTGTAGTATCTTGAAAGCTTAGTAGTTCTTTCCTCTGCATACCCAAGTGAATAATGGTTTTACCAAGAAGTACTATACCTGATTGCTAAAGTATGTCAGCCTTCACAAAACTGAGGAATAACTAAAAGGCACAGTTACTGTATGCCCACAAAAAAATTTTATATAGTGCTTAGGCTGCTCTCCATTCAGCCTATAACACTGCTAGATGACATAATAAGCCTATCCTCCCCAAATAGGACAAAATGCAAAAGCCACCTGAATAAAACATGCAAAACAACTGCTACCTTCTCTTCCCCCTATTCCAACTTGAGAAGCAAAAGATGTTTCAGCTGATGCATGTTTAACACATATAGGCACAGGACCCCAAATGGAAAGCATTTCTCAACTGTAACTTGAGGGAACATCACAGTAACAGTCATATATTAGTTACACATTTTAAGGAAAGAACCCATTCATTAAGTAAAACATACTCCAGAAAACAATGGAGATCTAAGCAGTCACTTATGAAAGACTACTTTTGAAACTAAATATCCTACATCAAAAAGTCTCAGCTAGTGAATTCGACATGCAACAAACTAGATGAGTGGTCCCTATACAAATGTGCAGTAAATTAAGATAATTCCATTAATGCTTGACTTGTTCATTTATTGCAAAATGACCAGCACTGATTTCTTCCCCGCTTCTCCAGCTTCCCTTGAAAACATGCAAGATTCAAAGATTATTGAGACATACCTCCTCAGCAGCAGCAGTATTTCTGATTGCTTGTAGGAGGAACGTGATCTTAGATTGACCTGGAATATTCTCATACGTCTCCTGCATAAAAAGGGATGAAACTTATTGTAAACAATTACTAGAAAGCACATGTTAAGCATTAATATGCATTGACTTTCCTTTTAAAACAACTTCAGTATCCATCCAGTTATTAGAAACTAACACAACAAAAAAAAATACTAAACCTATAAAAATAAAAATTTCTGACCTATTCTAAAATCATCACTAAAATCTTAGTTACCTAATAAGACCTGCCATATTGGAATGATCTACACATGCATTATTGGCCACTTACAAGATGAGTTAAGAAATACAACATAAATAGAACACATACCCTCCTGGTAATACAACATATACAAGAACATGTATCCTCCTGGGAACCCGTCATAGCTTCTACCACATCAATGGTTTAAGAACTTTGGAAGCCTGAGACTGAACTATGACCAAGAGGTTAATAACCACTGACAAATGTATAGTCCAAAAATTTGTTCTTCTTGTCTTGAACCTTTTTACAGCCTTTACAATGTCATGTGGCAGTCACACACCTCAACTACATGTTTTGAATAAGAACTTTTCATTTTTAAACTCCTGTCTGAATTTCAGAAAGAGAGACTATTTAGTCTCCCCCTTAGGGAAACGCTCTTTATAAAACGGAAAGTTTAATGAGAAGTTCAGTTACGTTGTCTTACACACTTTTGGCATGCAGTTCATTCACTATGGCTTTTAAAATTAGATTGTTATTTAGAAGCTAGAGTGAATGCACAGCAAAATAACTTTTGCTATCCAAACCACAGTATATGTGAACATTTTAGAACCACAAATGCTTGTTTCTAGTATACTAAACCCATGGAGGTAGGAGCAGGGGGATTGCAAGCTAAAGAGCAACCACTTAAAACATTCAGAAATAGCTCTATACTTACTAATTCTGAAAGAGTTATTTTTCTGAGGACCAATCTTGAAGATAAATTACTCCACTCTTTGGTTCATTTCCACGCCCACTTCCCACTCTTACCATTGCAGCAGCTTTAATGCTCTAGCAAATTTACACCCCTTGACAGTATACCTGCCATTTTCAATAAAGTAGTTGATTAGACATCAACTTCCTCCACTTTCTGTACCTGTTTCCTAGCAGACCTCATTCACAGACTCGATTCTTACATCATACTCTCTCTAGTTGTTAATATATGCTCACAGTCAATGAGACTCTGAATCCCCAATGAATCCCTGCATTTAATCTAATCAGCTCACGAAGACTGCAAAATGAAATGAGGTTTAGGGTCAGAATAGAAAGTCTTCTAGGATTAACCCTTTCCATGAATGTATATATTTATATTGCACTATTATCTAGAAATACAGAAACAAGAAGGTTCCCTAAGCACAGACCCAGGATGGACCTGAAGCAATGTTATCATGGACAGCTGAAGCACTGTAAAAGTTGGCTTCCCTCATGGCAATTCTGATAATAATGAAATTCTATTTTGAATTGTTTAAACTCACTAGATATGGCAGCAACCTATCCAGTTGTTCACTGGCATAATTTGGACAATTCGGTAAACCAGATTCAGAGGATGCTGAAGAGCACCAGTGCAACGTAGGCATGAGGAACATGTGGCCAAAACTGGTGTTGGAGGGCTACTTTGCTGGCTCCATCCATCTTAGTACCAGCCTTGGCTATGCCCTAACTATGTACCTGGATCCTGCCACATCTTCACCATATTCTTTTAGTTCACGATTAGTTCCCCAGCTACCTTATCCAGAGCTACAAATTTCTCAGCATGACTTTCAGAATACATGCAAGCAAGCATCTACTATCTACATTTAGTACTCAGGTTCTTCCAAACCTGAGAAATACATTTTAGAAAAGAGCATAAAATCACCAAGACAAATAAAAGTTTCTCTATCAGAAGTTAGACACACAAATAAGAGAAATACAGGCTTTTATAGTCAACAGACAACGTTCCAGCAATTTTTAACGGGAGATAAAATGAATGAACCAGGTTTCAGCAAACTGCTCAGAATAAGTTATGAGTGTGCTAGCATATACATAGAGCCACATATACAAATACTTCAATAAAAAGAGGTTTTAAGTGATTAGACTTTCTTACCCCCTTCTGCTTTTTACAGCTTCCACTACATCCCCACCCAAACAGGCTATGACTCTATACCTCCATCAAGTCTAGTCTTCAACATAACACCCCTCACCCTTATTTCAGTGACCAGACCTATTAGAAATAATCCGAGTCTGTCTGCTTCAGTTCCCTGTCCATCCATTTCTCATTCTCACTGGTTTTCATTGGACACGAATGAAAACCTGCTATTCAGTTTACCTGCAGTTATTTGAATCCCCATAGTATTCAATATTGCCTACCAACAAGTAGGGCAAGTACACTTTAAAAACATTGACTGGACTATGCAGATGTTTAAGATCAAATATGAGCCCTGTATGATTTCAGTAAGCAGATATTCTAAACACTATGCAATACTTTCATTTTGTCCAAAGAAATCATACTTCAAGAAACAGACAACTTAAAAACAAAGAAGTCAATCTACCTACACTATAGAGAGACAGATTTGTGTTTCTAGGCACAAGTTCATTAACCCACCATGAAGAAGACTGAGCTGGGATGTTCACAGCTGTGCTTGGTGGAAAAATGAGAGACAACAGGCATAAATTGAAAAAAGGAGGTTCAGACTGGATAGAGGTTCAGACCTCTCTGCTCTAATGAGGACAGTCAAGCGGGAGCGGGTTGCTCAGAGAGCTTGTGCAGTCTCCATTCTTGGAGGTTTTCAAGACTCAACAGGAAAAAGCCCCAAGTGACCTGATCTGACCTGATAGCTGACACTGCTTTGAGCAGGAGATTGCACTACAGACCTCCTGAGGACCCTTCCACTCTGAATGATCCTAAACCACAAAAAGAGTTCCAATACACCTTGGAAATATGCAAAAACCAATGCCAGATTCACTGCAGTTAAGTAAAAATTATACTACTTGCTTGTATCTATATAGGAAACTAATAGACTTTAAAAACTTGACAATCTATCACGACAAGTACAATTTCTTATTCTGATTGACCAGAGTGCATATGCATCTATGAAGATTAAACAAACTCCAACTCAGTTCCAAGCAAGTTTCTGACAGAATATGCCAGTTGTAAGAATCTAAGTTTTAGACTTTCTTTTCCAAGAATGTTTTATTTCACAGGCATTGTGACATTGCTGTCCAATAACTTTGCTTTGTTACAATTTTAATAAAGTTCAAAAAGCTGTGAAAAATGTTCTTGTTACATGCAGGCAGCTGAGAAGAGAAAGAAATTCAGCTCTCAGGGAATGGCCTCCATTCCAATCCCTGTGTTCAGGACTGTGGGAATAACTCTTGCCGCTCCTCTGGAAAGTGTTTGTAGTACTCAATACTGAACTTCGCTGGGTTCCTAAAAATGTCCGTCTCCCCTCCTTCTCATTCCCAAATTACATTTCAGGAATTTTTACCACAGCATCAGGAACAATTACTACTTTTTATTCTTCGCCAAACAATGTGCTGAACTCTGCTGACCGCTGAAGTGATGAGAGTGATAAAAGACCCGATGCAGCCATGCAGTGGGAATTCATGCTAAACCTAGACGCTAGTATTTAATTCAATGGGAGAGATTCCCCACTAGGCTTGACAATGGAGTCTTAAGCATGACAGAGAGAAAGAATTAACGTGGCTTAGCCATCACAAAGAATTTTAGCTGAAATAACACATCTGAAAAGTTTTTGCTGATAACAGAGAAACTCAGTATATTGAAAACGCTTCTTTTAGTGAAATATTTCTTCGCTGACGAAACATTTGAATACACGGCCCATTCCGAAGTTAAATACCGAACTACTGTGTGGAAAGAGAAGCAGCCCCCTGGGGCCGGGTGGGGGGAAGGGAAGGGGAGCAGCTACGGCCCCGCTCCTGCCCCCGCATAGGCGGCACGCCCGGGGGGCACGGACCCTCTGCGAGGGCCGCTTCGGGAGCGCTGAAACGGGGCC